TATTATCTATATCACATTCCATAACATATGATCGATAACATGAATGTAATCTAATTTACATTAAAATTTCAACCGCAACATACAATGATTGTCTTAAAAGAATACTTAAACCAAGAAAAATAAAATAAAATAAAGAATTGATATATAACAAAATTACAAATTAAAAACTTTAACATAATAACATGGTTCGAAAAATGGTTCAAAGCCCTTAAACCAACACAAAAACCTTTAGACTTGTTTTCTTTGTGAATTTTGTATGTGATTGATAACTGTGTGTCTACTCAAAGATATTGGCCTTTTATAGTACACTATCCATTAATTTCTTATTAAACATATTATATAAGTTATAAAACCTTTGAATGGTTAATCATTATTAAGAGACTTTTGAGTGGTATTCATTAAAATAAGAGGTTTCAAATGAATATGGTTTGAGTAAAATGCATCATGGGAGTTTCAAATGAATGTGGTGAAAGGAAAAATGCTTCCTTTATAAGTATATAAGGATATGATAGTTAACATATTAATTTTATTAAACATTATAGTTTAATTTTTAAGTCATTGTGATATATACAATTATTTGATAATTTTATAAACCGTTTAAAATTGTGTAAATTATATATCAAATGAATGATAATATAACGGGTAACAAAACGTATGAACAAAAATATGAACTGCAACTTTTAGTGACATAAAAATAGAAAAACATCTATTATAACATTTGTATTAAAAAAGATATATATACAACGAATAATAAAAAATATGAAAAATAAACACTATAACTTTTAATAAGATAAAAACACTAAAACATCTATTATAACATTTATATTAACTCTTCATATTTAAATCACAAATCTCTTCAAATACATTAATATTTTTAATGAGCAAAACTTTACAACCTTATAAAAGAAAGGAAAATAAAAAGTTATTAGTGATTACTAATTAATAATCATAAGTTAAAAACTCTTGAGTTGTAACTAATAAATATACATAAATTAGAAAACTCTTGAGTTGTAGTGTAAGTTTTAAATGAATTGCGTCTAAGTAATTGGTTTTGATGCATCATTTAAATCCCTTCAATTATTAAACATAAAGATATTTAATTATAAAATTATAACATACATAGGTGCATATACATGTTAAACAAATCACATAATATATATATATATATATATATATATATATATATATATATATATATATATATATATATATATATATATCGTAAATGTCATATGTAATTCTTGTCATACTAATATGGATAAATTACTTCCATATGAAGAACAAATCATGATAAGTCTATCATAATTACATATCAAATGTTCAAAATTATGTTATCTTTTAAATATTGTCTTTTAAATATGTTGTGTAGGATAACCCAACAAAAAAATAATTGAAAATAAACATAATCAAAATAGAAAAACTACAATCAAATAAATAAGAGCATTGGGTGATTGAATATATAAATAAAGATGTTATATAAACATACATTTAAATCAAAAGAAAAAACTAACATTCGTCAACTTTGCTCAAACAAAAAAAACTATATCCATTTTATGAATCTTCTTTCTTCATTTAACACCATTCAACCATAGAAACTTGATGACAATTCTTCACTAACCTGCAATCAAAATATTTTTCTTGAAAAAGAAGAATCAGAAAGATATTCCAAGCAAAACATTGATGTTTGGAGAGTCACATTCAAGATTGAGTAATACACACAAATCACATATAAAGATTAAATGAGAAACTGAATATAAAGAAAGAATAGAAAAGCTTCATTTATTTTGGTTGAAAGAAAAAATCATATTACAGTTACCATCGATGCGACATAACCAATTTATTCAAATCATCATATTTGGATCGTAAATGCTTCAACTATATGAAAACTTTTGAATCACAATTTCTTCAAATCCTTCTTACATGTAAGATTTTATATAACACAAAAGACACAAAAGATTGACCTTTTATAGTAAACTTTTCACTAAAAGCTAATTAAACATAATATAAGTTATAAAACTTTTGAGTGTTAAATCATAATTATGAAAACTTTTGAGTTGCATTAGTTAAAAAAGAGGGTTTCAAATGAATGTGGTTTGAAGAAGTTAAAAAAGGGGGTTTCAAATACATGAGATTTAAGAAAAAATGCTAGCTTTATAAGTATGTATGATGTATGATTTGCCGGTTAAAAAAAAGAATTTCTTATTTTAGATATCTAATTAAAAATGGAATAAAATAAATATTTACTCTATTTAGTTATAAGATAACTGCAAGAATAAAATAAATCTTCTCGCTGTCAAACGTAAAAGTTCATTAGAAAATTTGAAGTTCTAACTAATTAGTTACACAAGGACTCATTCATTTATAGTAACTAGTAAAGAACCCGCGGCTATGCCGCTTTTGGGGTAATATGGAAAAAATCGGCAAACTTTAAAAGATATGTGCTGAAATTGTAAATCACCATAAATAGGGAAGAAAGTCGACAACTCCTAAAATTAGATGTCAAAAGTGTACAACGAAAAAAGGGACACTGGTGGAGAAAATCCAAAATGTTGTGGCAATAATATTAAAGTTGTTAACGTTGGGAAAATATGTTGGCAAAATTTTAAAGGAGGTTTTTTTGTGTTTTTATGTCAAAATGTAAAACTTTTGACTACAAGGACAAAAAGTGTCAAATTCATTAAAGAATTGTGGAAAAAACACCAAAATGTAATACCTTTGAATATAAGGACTAAAAGTGTCAAAGTCATTAAAGATTTGTGGCAAAAACCTTAAGGCACAAAAACTTAATCAAAAGGCAAAAATGTAAAAATTTGACTTTAGGTACTAAAAGTGTCAAGTTCAGCAAACTTTTGTGACAAAATCCTAAAACCTAAAAGAATACTATTCCTAAGCTCCTTTGGATTTAATATATATATAATTTGGTAAGCAAGTGGAACATTTTTTTTCAAGTAATTTAAGTTTGATTAAGTCACACTTCTTGATCTAGATCTAGTGAAAAAAATAGCACAAAACTCCAGTAAAATTAAATGCAATCTTGAAACAATCAAAGTTAGATTCAAGTTTATGCAAATTCAACTTAAATTTTCATCCACAATTATAATCCTTTATATATATATATATATATATATATATATATATATATATATATATATATATATATATATATATATATATATATACTTGGTGTAGCCGGTAAAAATCATCCCAACCCGTCAACCCAACCCGAACTTTTATATATATATATATATATATATATATATATATATATATACTTGGTGTAGCCGGTAAAAATCGTCCCAACCCGTCAACCCAACCCGAACTTATCCCGTTAAGATTTTCAACCCATTGAATTTAAATGGGTCAACCCGTCTAACTCATTTAATTAAATAGGTTGGATTGGGTAGAAAATATTATAAACTCGTTTTCAACCCACCAACCCAATTATTTAAGTTAATAATTATTTAAATATTATAATTTATTAATCTAAGTATTAATTTATACATTATAATGTTGTATTATTATTTATATTTTAAATAATTGCAATCTTAATTCATATCTCTCCAAAATCACTTCCAAATTCAATATTTTTAATGTTATTTGAACATTTATTTGTATCTGTGAATTTTGATCATGTTGTTGTCATATTTTGAAATTTTATTTAAGTTTTTAAATGATGTAACGTTTAGCTAATTTATTTAATTTGTTTAATTTTAAACGAGTTACCCAAGTTTAATCCATTTATTTAATAGGTTGTGTTGATAAATACATAAGGTTTGATTGGATTGGAAATATCAGTCTACTTAAATAAACAGGTTGGATTATGTTGAAATCTTCAATCAAATTAATAAACGATTGAACCCGAATTAACCGATGTCATATTCATTACCAACTTTAACTTGGTGCATGAGTAACTGAATTAAAAAAACACATACACACACATACATACACACACACACACACACATATATATATATATATATATATATATATATATATATATATATACACACACACATACACACTAGCCGTTTACCCGCGCTAAGCACCGGGCGGCAAAGAGTTTCTTTCAGAATATAGTTTTAAAGTGATGATTAGTTTCCTTTAGACGTGGGCTATTCATTGCGGCCTTTTGGTAGACTATTTTGTGTCGAATAGTTCATTTCAACGGATAGTTTCTTGCTAGGTGCATAGTCATACAATACGACAGAAGTTGAGTCTACATTTTGAATTTCATCTAATAGTTCATACTTGATTTTACAATATATAAATAACAACAATCTGCAATCATGTAGTTTTGTACATTTATAACATGTCCAATATATAAACTACACCAATCTGCAATCATGTTGCTTCATCTGCTAGCCCTGCATTAAACATCAAATGAGCATCTAAGATACATATTTGAAGAAATTGTAAAGTAATAAGTTGTTGATTGTACCTTGTTAATCACATAAAACTTCTTTGTACACAACGTTTGATGTGTAGATTCCATCATTATCAAACATTTTTTCCGGCTTTACTAATACCTTGGTATTGAGACGTGATATTCCTCTAGACAACGCCACATAAAGTTGGCCATGTGAGAATACCGATTCTGGTAGATAAACACCTACATTTGGAATTGTTTGTCCTTGAGCTTTATTGATTGTCATAGAGAAACTAAGCTGAACTGGAAACTGCTTTCTCTTTAGTTTGAATGAGAACATCTCATCGTCAGACGGACATAAAGGAATTCTTGGTAAAAACACTCTTTTTCCAGCATGTTGACCAACAACTATCTCTGCATCAATGACATTTTGTTGGAAAGCTCGACATATCAATCTGGTGCCATTACATAACCCATTTGAAGGATCAATATTTCGCAAAAGTATTACTGGGCACCCAGTTTTTAACCGAAGATAATGAGGGGGTACACCACTAACATTTAGCGAGTTCAAATATTCCATCATATATAAGTTATTTTTGTCATCTTCCGCTTCATCAAAACTGTAGTAAACTTTTTACTCGCCATAAAATCGTTCGATCAACTTATTATTAATCTCATCAACACTTTCAGTTTTAGTTGACAATATCGCCCTCGAAATGATAAATTTTGAACCGACGCCGTTGGATTGCAAAGAAGGAAATATTGCATCAATCAGAGCGTCCACTGAATTAGTTTTATCAGTGTATGAAATGGACATGTTATCAGGTATACGAATAAAGGACTCGTCCAATGTTTCCTCCTTTCCATCACCGACTCGTAATAAAAAATCAGAAAACCATGGGTCATTTACCGCTCTCATGTTGATATTTAATCGAAGCCTTTTAACTGAAGCCCATAGAGGTGACATTTGTAAGCTAGAGTCCACAATTTGTGCTCGAGTGCCACGTCTCACGACCGGCAAAACTTGTATAAAGTCACCTCCCATAACCATTATCTTTCCACCGAAAGAGAGCTTCTCATCTGTGATGTCTTGCATTGTCCGATCAACTGCTTCTACCGCCTGCCTCTTAGCCATTGCTGCTTCATCCCATATGATTACCTTTGCCTCGCGAAGTAGCTGAGCCTTCCCGCTTTGTTTAGTGATATTGCACATCGAGTTATTATCAAGATTGGGGGGAATTCCAAATCGTGAATGAGCTGTTCTCCCTCGTGGCATGTTGTTAGCCGCAACACCTGACGTGGTAGTTGCAAGTGCAATAAGACCACGGACACGAATATTGGCCAACAAAGCTTTGTACAAAAATGTATTTCCAGTTCCACCAGGACCATCTATGAAGAACACACCCGGAATATTTTCATCCACATGCCTCATTATCTCATCATATGCAAACTTCTGGTCTAGATTGAGAGAGTCTGGCGCATGTAAGTCTTCATATTCCACATTTATAGAGTATTCTTCTTGCACCTCACGATAGCCTCTTGATTGTAAATCGATGTGTGAACTGACATTTGGAAGGTCGTAATCACTAAGTTTTTTACTCATAGATTCTAGGAAGACTCTAATGTCAATGAGGACCATATTTTGCACTCGTTCGACACATCCATATTGTTTCCTATAATCTTCAGAAAGAGAATCATAGTAGTCGTCCCATAACTTGCGAACATTTCCTGGTTCACAAAAAATCAGCATCGTCGCAAATAACCTTCTAAGTGTGCTGGGAAATTGAAATAAGGAAGCCTCTACAAGACATTGTGATAAATTATCATCGGTCTCTATTAGAAACAATTTTATTAAGGGGGTTTCTTTTTATGTAAACGCTTATATAATATTAACCAAAAAAACAACTAATACATATAAGCTTGATAATACTTACAGATAAAAGTGGCTCAAATTCCAAATGGCGTACATCTTTGTCATAACTTGCTCTAGTTATTGGTTGATTTTTAACCTAAATAAGCAACCAATGGTACAAATTATAAATTAACATAAGAAGAATATAAAAAGACTAGGAAATTTCATCACTACCAGTTTCAAAAAGTAATCGGGTTTACTCTTGTCATTTGACTTTTTTGCAGACAACATTGTCCGACACCTCACTATATCCTTCTCAAGTAACTTCAAATCTGTCACAAAAAAATCAGTTATAGTAAATAAAATTTGAACTTTGAAGGTTGAAAAATAGTGAAATTTGAAAATAAACAGGCTATTTACCAATTTGTGTTGAAGGTTGTGAATGTACTGCATTCGAGTCAAGATATGTGATTTCCACTTTTGGTTGACCAATTATCTTCATATCAGACACAAAAATATTTAAACCTTTTGGGAAGAATTTTGGATTTTTATTATATAACATGGTCCATAAAGATGACATCCATGGATCTAAGGACCCTTCATATCTGCATAAGAAAATCACAACAACTTTATTTAATTTACTTATTGTATATTATACAGAAAGATTATGCAACAAAGTTGTACAAATACTGGAAATAACAAAGATACCCTGAAGAATGTTGATCATCTCCCAAACCTCTTTCAAGAATTATGGTTCCCCCGAGATCTGCAAGTCTTTTGTCAAGCTTCTTTGCAACAAACTGAAATTACATGACAGATTTAAGTAATTACACAAATGTAATTTAAGAAGATTACATACATGATAACTAATTCAACTTACATTGTATTTATGATAACCAGAGTCTCCCAATCCAAATACTATGTAGTTTGTTTTTTCGAGCCACTGTCTGTTTAAACTTCTTTGCAAAAGAAATGTCCAAAACGCCTAAATTTGGGTAATCAAGAATTAGAAAGAAGAAATAATAACAAATGAAAAGTTTGAAAGTTAAAGCAGTGAAAAAAGAATCGCAAGTGGTAAACATTTTTAATTATAAAATGTTTAACCACACCTAGTGTTCTAATTCTGGTTTTTCAGTTGCATTTCCTGAGAATATAGAAGTGTAAAATTTGACTTGAAACCTGAAAATCGACTCACACTACATGGTTCAAATCCCATATGCTGCATCAATGAAAAGATTTCTGCAGCACCATAAGGAAAACCTGCCCGACTGTTGGAAAAATATACAAAATTTGTTAAATTGTGACAAAAAATATCATAATAAACGGGACCCACAAGATGAAAATGTTAAAAGATGACCTGTAAGCTTCCATAAGTTAAAACAAAAAATGCCAAAATTGCTCAAAATAAGTTAAAAGCAAAATGAAAAAGGTAACCTGGGGTGGGGTGGGTGGAATTTAAGGCTACTCAAAAGCCTAGATTAGAAAAATTACATTACAACTAAATTGACTAACATCATTAAAAAAATAAGTATCGTTTCTATAAGCTACGAATCTGAGTGAACAACAATTTCAAAAACATAATAAAAAACATTTATTTTATAGAATTGAAAACAATAAAATTTATTACCTTTTTTCGTAAAGATTATAGTAGGGTGTGTGTTGGGGGTTCATCACCAGAGAAGTGATGCATGTGTATCAACGAAGAAAGAGAAAAAGAGGCGAGAGAGAGAGGGAGAAGTAAACCCATAGTTGCTGCAACAATGGTTTCCAGATCAGGTATTTGCGCAAAGGAGGTAGTGGTGGACGCTCGCCACCATATTCTCGGTTGATTGTCGTCTAATTTGGCAAAGGAGCTTCTCAATGGCCAGCGGGTCACCGTCGTGCGCACTGAAGAGATCTGCCTCTCCAGTGGTCTTGTTCGTCAGAAAATGAAGTACCTTCGTTATCTCCATAAGCGTATGAACACCAAGCCGTCTCATGGTCCCATTCACTTCCATGCTCCTTCGAAGATCCTGTGGCGTACCATCCGAGGTCAGGTGGCGACGGTGGAGGCGTTGAGACATTCGACAACGACGCCAAGAGAGAGACAGTAGAGATTTGGTTTGATTTGGTGAGTATCGATCAATTCTAAAGCGATTAGGAAGGAGACGGAAAGAAGAGGGTTTAGATTTCCTTCCGATGGCGGCTGTTGTGTGTAGTGTTGTGTGTAGATAATATTAGGGTAACATCTTCGATAAGGTAATACCGTGTATACCTATACGATAAGGTAATACCGTGTATATCTATATAATGTGATTATAAGCTTAATATTATTGTACATGAGGTAATAGTTATTGTACCTCTTAATTTTCAAGAAACACGCAATATGTTTAATAATATAGTAAATATATATATATATATATATATATATATATATATATATATATATATATATATATATATATATTCATGTCAATCTTAGTTTATGGAGCATATTTCAGATAAAAAATTTCAAGTTATTCAAGCTCGAATCTTTCTAAAGTCGAGCCCAAACTTAATTACATAGAAAACCTCATTCAAGTATCAAATTGAGTTCAAGCTTAGCCTCACATGGTAACACCATCAAGTCAAATTCAACTCAACTGGCACTACATGTGTATAGTGTAGGTTTATTATGTATACTCACAGTATAAGGTCCTTTTTGGTAAATATGTATATTGGTGTATTTATATAGTGGGAATGCAATACTAACCCCATGAGGGTATTTTCACATTTATCATGGTATCAAGAGTCGTACGTGACTTTTTTTCTGGCCGCTGTTACGATTCCCTCATTCCTCCTTCTTGTCGATTATGACTTACAAGATTGTGTTTATGCTGCGATTCAAGTAAGAAGGTATCACACTTCTCAATAAAATTAATCACGTCTGCTTCCTGTTTTTCTCTCCATCGACCCACACCCTCTGTCCGAAATCGATTCCGCTGCATTAACAAGCATAAGCCGTCCGTTGAAAGGGTTCTAGTATGATACATATTGCTACAATCCTTCTAACCGCGGTAAGTTCTCTGGTATTTGTTTTGTTTTTTTATTTCACACGGTTCTTTGATTTTCCGGCATCATGTCTTCTCCTGCAAACACCTCTATTGTGTCCCCTCCTGCCCAACAACTTGTATATGCAGTTACAAATGTCTATAATCAATTCAGTTTCAAATTAATTGCCGATGGATCTAAATACAAATTATGGTGTCGTATTTTTCAAGATATATGTAAAGGTGTTAAGGTTCTAGGTCACATCAATGGCAAATCCAAGCCCTCGGGAGAAGATGATGAAGATTGGGAGTCAATCGACTCATGTGTGAAGTCGTGGTTCTATTACACTTGTGATCCAACTGTTTTGCAAATTATTTCTAGCGATAATTGCACTGCTAAGGACTTATGGGACAACTTACATGAGTTTTTTCTCAATAACAAAATGCCACGAATGCTCCAATTGCAAGAACAATTCCGCAATACAAAAAAGGCGCCTCGTCAATTACCGAATATTGTCATAATCTCAAACATCTTGCCGACGCCTTAGCCGATGTTGACTAAGAAATTACTGAATTGGAACTTGTCATGCAAATCTTACGTGGTCTCCTGGTGAATTATCATAACATCATGGATGTTGTCACTAATACTAAGCCGTTTTCGTCATTCTTGGAAGCTAAGAATATGCTTTTACTACATGAAACCCGGGAAGTGAATGAAGATCAATTGATTGATCAATCCATCCCGGCTAATACGACTCTTTATTCCGTTTCTCAACAATTCGGAAAATCGAAAAACAAATGGAATAAAAATCGCAATAATAACCGGGGTACTTCCAAGGGGGGTGGTAATTCTAGCATATCTACTAGTACTACTCAATTTGCAGGTACAAATTCGGGTCAAAATTCTCAATTTGCAGGAATTATGGGGCCAAATCCGAATGCAAATAATTAAGCTTTACAAAATCCATCTCAAACATTTTTTTTATGGTGCTCCTGGAATTGCCGGAAACTCTTTTGTGTATCCATATTATGCGTACAACACAATCTCAATTAGTCCACAACAGCAAATTCCACATGCACCTGTCCAAGCCCAATAAGTCCATCAACTACAACAAGTGTCGAATCAGCAGCCCATCGCTGCCTTTGGGCCAGCAGCGCACCCATCTCCTATTTTTGGACAACCCATTGTTCTGCAGTCCAGGCCCACTAGCGCTGGATTTTCAAACCAGCCCACTACAAATTTTTTTGGTACACAGGTTCCCGCTCCGCAACAACCGACTGATGTAGCATCCATTTTTCAAGCGATGTCGCTTCAACCACCGCAAGATAACCAATTTTACATGGACACGAGTGCATCTTCTCACATGTCGTTTAACCAAGGTAACATGTCTTACCTCTCACCATGTAATTCTAAATCTATTATGGTTGGCAATGGTGCAATATTACCGGTTTCTCACATTGGTCACACTTTTCTTCCTTCCTATCAAAATAATTTTTTTAAACGATGTCCTTGTGTCAAATCATATAGTCAAAAATTTAACTTCTGTTCGCAAATTCACAATTGATAATTTTGTTTCTGTTTCATTTGACCCATTTGGTTTCTTTGTCAATGATCTTAATTCAGGTACTTTTCTCCAACGATGCGACAGTGTTGGCGATTTATATCCATTTCTTCCTACTCGCGTCTCTTCTGTCCTGACTAAAGCTCTTGTTGCGGTGTCTCTTCCTACATGGCATCGTCGTCTAGGACATCCCGTTTCCTCCGTTCTTCGTTTTCTGCATTCTCGAAATTTTGTTTCTAGCAACTCAAATAAAATCCCAACTTGTCATGCTTGTCAAGTTGGAAAACATTGTCGTTTACCTTTTACGTCTTCCACAAATAAAACATCTCGTGTGTTTGAACTTATTCATTCTGATTTATGGACATCTACGGTTATTAGTTTGAGTGGATTTAAATATTACATATTGTTCCTTGATGATTTTTCACATTTTTTGTGGGTCTTTCCTTTACGTGCGAAATCTGAAGTTTATAGTGTTTTTTGTAATTTTCGAATATATGTCAAAAATCAATTTAAAAACTGACATTCAGTCTTTTCAATGTGATAATGGTCGTGAATTTAATAATCGTGTTCTTCTCACTTATCTTCAATCCAACAGTATTACCGTTCGTTTTTCATGTCCATATACATCACAACAAAATGGCAAAGTTGAACGTTCGATTCGCACTATAAATAACATCATACACACGTTTCTCTTTCAAGCTTCTTTATCTACTGCATTCTGGACAAAAGCTCTTCTCACCGCTATTCATACTCTTAACCTTCTTCCCACCACCACCTTGTCCTATAAAACCCCATTTTAGGTTTTATTCGGTTTCTTTCCGACTTATGATCACCTTCGTGTCTTTGGGTGCCTTTATTACCCAAATCTCACCTCTACTGCCCCTCACAAGCTCTCTCCCAGATCAACAGCTTGTGTGTACCTTGGACCAGCTCCCAATCATAAAGGACATAAGTTTCTTGACCTTGTCACTCAACGAATCATTATTTCTCTTCATGTTATTTTTGATGAAGATCAATTTCCCTACTCTAATTTTCACACTCCTCCTCCGGACTTGGACTATGATTCTTTAACTCTAGACGATGATATTTCCCCACACACCTTCTCCTCCACTCCAACCACGACATCTCAACCTCGTGGCACTTCTCCTTCTTCCTCTTCGTCTCACACATAACACCCATTCGCCTCTGATTCTATCGACGTGTCTGATTCCACGGATGTTCCCTCTGCTTCGAGTGCCCCCTCTTCTCGCGCTACTGGTCACCATATGACTACTCGCTCTCAAACCGGTTCCCTAAAACTGTGTATATTCTAAACCTTTCCGCTTCTTCTGACATATCTTCGATTCCAATATCTACAACTCAGGCCATGTGTGATCCTAACTGGAAATCCGCCATGGATGCTGAAATGGCCGCCCTCAACTCCAATCATACTTGGGAACTTGTTCCCCTCCCTCTAAGTGACAACATTATCGGTTGTCGTTGGCTCTATCGACCCAAGTTTGATTCCAAAGGCAACCTCGATCGTTACAAAGGTAGATTGGTTGCTCAGGGTTTTTCTCAACAACCGGGTTTAGATTTTGATGATACATTTAGCTTGGTTGTCAAACCCGCCACCATTCGCACTGTTCTTAGCATTGCTGTCTCCCGTCAGTGGCCAATTCATCAGCTTGATGTTACGCATGCTTTTTTTTACATGAAGACATTACTGAAGAGGTCTACATGAAGCAACCCCCAGGTTATGTTCACCCACAACATCCCGATCATGTGTGTCGTCTACGAAAAGCTTTGTGTGAACTCAAACAAGCTCCTCGTGCATGGTACCAACGATTTGCGATTTACATCTCCTCCATAGGTTTTAAGAGCAGTCGATCTGACAGTTCTCTCTTCACCTTTCATCACGGCTCGGAGACAATTTATCTCCTTCTTTACGTCGATGACATTATTCTTGCGGCCTCCAGTTCCTCTCTTATCAAAAAAGTCATCTTATGTCTCTCTTCTGAGTTTGCTATGACAAATTTAGGCTCTCTCTCTTTTTTTCTCGGCATTGCTGCTACTCGTACGCTAACATCCTGTTTCTTTCGCAGACTGCATTTGCCAAGGAGATTCTCTCTCGAGCAGGTATGACCTCGTGCAACCCCTGTAGCACTCCGACGGACTCCAAACCGAATCTCTCTTCCTTCGGGCCTTTGATGTCTGATCCGACCGTGTATCGAAGTCTAGCTGGAGCATTGCAGTATTTAACCTTCACTTGTCCAGATATTACATATGCTGTTCAACAGGTCTGCCTCTACATGCATGACCCACGTGAACCCCACTTCCTTGCTTTGAAACGCATTTTGCGCTACATTCAAGGCACTCTTCATCTTGGTCTTCATTTACGTCCATCTCATGTCGATCGTTTGGTCTCTTATGCTGATGCTGATTGGGTCGGCTGTCCTTAGACACGTCGGTCGACTTCTGGGTTTTGTGTTTATCTTGGTGATAATCTTATCTCTTGGTCCTCAAAACATCAACATGTCGCCTCTCGATCTAGTGCAGAAGCAGAGTATCGGGTAATGTTGTTGCTGAAGCTGTATGGCTTCATAATCTGCTTCTTGAACTCTCATGTCCTCTAAATCGTACTACTGTTGTGTTTTGTAACAATGTGAGTGCTATGTATTTAGCTTCCAACCCGGTTCAACATCAAAGAACCAAATATGTGGAAATAGATTTACATTTTGTTAGAGAATGTGTTGCCATTGGTCAGGTTCGCGGTCTGCATGTTCCCTCTGCTCACCAGTTTGCAGACATCTTCCCTAAAGGACTATCTACACAGTTATTTATTGATTTTCGTAACAGTTTAAACATTCGTGATCCTCCCGTTCAAACTGAGGGAGAGTGTTAGCACATGTCGTTTAATGTATAGTGTAGGTTTGTTATGTATACTCATAGTATAAGGTCCTTTTTGGTAAATATGTATATTGGTGTATTTATATAGTGGGAATGCAATACTAACCCTATGAGGGTATTTTCACATTTATCATCCCTAGTTTAGAAGACATTTTCAAAAAAGAGAAAACATAATATTGCTGAATTTTTTCTGTGCAATGGCTAGGCATCATCATGACATCATGTAATTAAGATATAAACTATGCTAGATAGATGGAATAAGAGCTACTAGTAATGTCCACAAGGTGGCTAATTCACATTGGAATTAAAAATCTCACACTATATATAGCGTCCATACTCAAGCCCTTGATCATTTATGCAATACACAACCTGGTAACCAACAGTGTGCTACGAGCGTAGGGCTATTGATGAAGTTTTTAAGGACTAGCTAGTAACGAATCACAAGAACATGCCAATGCCATTTTAAACACATCTTCATTTTCCATATACACTACAACATAAGTTGCCAAAGTAACCATAAAAGTTGCATGTTAAGATTGAAAACAAAAAAAATTGAAAAAAAAATTATAGTAGTTTGAAAAATAGTTTGCATCTTTAATTATCAGCAATCAAAGTCAAGGTAGTTCCCTGGGACAAAACTTCGGGTGCAACTTGCAGCGGCTCCAAAGAATCTACTATGTCCCGCATAAGTGGTCTAGCTTTCGGATTACGATTCAAGCAATGGTAAACTAGCATGGCTGCCTTTTGGAACCCTTTGATAGGGTAATCACCTAGCCTAGGATCTGCAATGTCTAGCAACTTCTTCTTTTCTTTAAGTAATGGGAGAGCCCAATCTGCAAGGTTTTGTTCTCTTGGTGGCCTTGATTTGTCCAATGATTTTCTTCCAGTTAGAAGTTCAAGAAGAACAATACCATAGCTATAAACATCACTTCTTGGAGTCAAATGGCCTAAAATTAGAGGAATATGTCATTAGTATGCAAGAAAAAAAAATCAATTCAATTCCAATTAACTTGTATTACATTTTTGTGATCCGATGATACTAACTTTTTGTTTCTTTTTTTACTCAATAGAGATAGGAGGATAAAATGATTATTTTACTTTTATTCAGACATATTATGTGGATTAATCCATATCTTATGTGAGCATTAAACATTAATCCGGAAAAATAAGAGAAATGGGTCTTTTTGTTTCTTTTTGACTTGTTTCATAGAAGACTCGCTTATGTTGTTATCAAATATTATATTCAATTTAAGTATAATCATGTTGATTGGATATAATTGTATTTGTATCATTATTTAAGTTGCTGCATTTTTTTTTTCCATTTTATCATTTATAATTTCAATTTATAACAATTCTCAAATAAACAATCATTTTTATTGAGCTTCATTTCTAGAGTGCCGGTAAAATAGCCATTTACTTAATTATCATTTACGCAATTATTTCATTTGTCCAAAAAACGATATTTATGTGTAGAACACTTACTCTAGATAGCCATTTAAAACTCTCTACACACTGAAACAAAAAACAAAACAAAAAAACAAACTCTTAATTTGGTAAACGCTAAGTGGGTATTTCCTTTTTAACTTGGACTATCCAAGAAATGAGGTTTTCTCGTTAAGTCTTTAACCTTTTACAAATTGGTCCTAATTTTTTTTTTCTTTCCATTGGCGTTATTGTCTCCAATGTCTTAGAAACATCATTTATCATATCACTTAATGGAAAAAGAAAGCAAGAAACATTATTTATCACATCACTTAATGGAAAAAAGAAAGAAAGAAACATTATTTATCACATCACTTAATAGAAAAAGAAAGAAGGTCTATCTAAGTGTGGAAAGTTAACAAACCTGTCATAATATACTCAGGCGCTGCATACCCATATGTTCCCATTATGCGAGTAGAAACATGAGTTTTATCTCCAACAGGACCATCTTTGGCTAGCCCAAAATCGGAAAGTTTTGCATTATAGTCCTGTATGCCCACATAATAATTAGTCAAGAAATCCCAAATGACACAATAAATGATTAAATAATATATGTTTTGATGAGTTTTTGTGTACTAACCGGGTCTAGCAAAATATTTGAAGTTTTAAAATCACGATATATGACAGGTTTTGGTGCATCATGAAGGAAGGCAAGTCCTTTTGCAGCACCAAAAGCAATCTTCATTCTAGTTGACCATGGAAGAGGAAGCAACACCCCTACAAAACAATAACATTTCAAGAAACTAGCTAAACCACAAAACAAAAGCTACATGAACTTTTTTCTAACTTTTGTAGTCAAATTATTCTTTCTTATGAGCTGTAAAGTAAGCAAGACTTTGTTTTTAGATATAGCAAATGTGATTATTGGTCTTTTTCTTGAAAACTAGTACACTTTCCCTCTAAAATATGTTTTTACAAATCTCAATATAATTGTTAAATTTCTATGGAATATTAGAATCTACACGAATTCATGGAGCACTTACTCGAAAATAATTTATTTTCCACGCTTCCAAGTGCCATATATTCGTATATAAGGACTCTATGCTCATCTTCACAGCAGTATCCAATCAATTTCACTAAATTTGGATGAGTAAGCTGCCCTAAAAATATAACCTCGGCCTACAAAGCAAAGAAGAGCTATTATTTTTGGAATGTAATTCGGAAAACATATACTCAAAGCATGTATACATGTATGATAAGAAATGGTCAATCGTTTGAATCTCAACGATTATGAGTTTTAATATATATAGAAGGACGTCCCACAACCACTATATATACGTAGTGACTTTTTTGGACCGAGGAAAATATATATGAATTTGATCGGTCTTTGTATGTTCTCTTTCTGTCCATTGTTACTAGCGAAAATTGTGACCACAATAATTTTCGGTAAACTGTTTATTACTAAATATAGATGAGCAAAATTATCTTATTTAAACGAAGAAAATCTCCAACAAAGTACATAATAAACGAATCACTTGCTTTTGCTGTACATGGAATAATAAAGCTAGTGATTCCTTTTAGATTCGTAGCAATACAATATTTTAGGTATTTTTTGAGGAAATAGGTCGTAAAAAAGGTGTAGAGGAGAATCATACAATGGGAAAATCCTCTTTCATTCTTTTTTTCACCCATGCCTTTGTTTTTATGGTGCCGGGTATTTTAGCTAGGACCATACAAGATGAAGGGTGAGTATATCTTTGATAAACCTATGCATGGCAAGTCAGGCATATGAATTTAGTGTAGTGCATGTCGTATATTAACTCTTATTTATATGTAAATTTCGTGTAGATCTGTTCTTGGAGCAAATTCAACAAGGAGGGGCCTACATACCGCATGCGAAGCAACAAACAAAATAGACAAGTGTTGGAGGTGCAAACCCAATTGGGCAGAAAACCGTCAATTATTAGCGGATTGCGCTCTTGGTTTTGCAAAGGGAACCACCGGCGGCAAGGGCGGAGAAATCTATGAGGTGACTGATCCTTCAGATGACGATGCAGTGAATCCAAAACCAGGGACACTTCGTTGTGGTGTTACCCAAAACAGACCTTTATGGATCATCTTTAAGAAAGATATGACGATTACACTCAAACATGAGCTTGTAATGACTGGTGATAAGACAATCGATGGTAGGGGTGCATGCGTCCAGATCGCTAATGGTGCTGGTATCACCATAATGAAGGTCAAGAACGTCATTATTCATGGGATTCACATACACCATATAAAAGAAACACCAGGGGGAGTGATTAAAGATTCAGAGACACATTCTGGGCCAAGAGCAAAAAGCGATGGTGATGGTATCTGCATCTTTGGTTCTTCCAAGATATGGATTGACCATTGTACACTCGATCATGGTGCAGATGGGCTTATAGATGTTACAATGGGTGGCACAGACGTAACCATTTCTAACTGCATATTCAACGATCACGACAAAGTACGTAGGAAGCATTTGAATCTCAAGATCTATGTATTTATATATTATATCTAATCCTCTACACTTTGTGATTAACACATGAACAGGTCATGTTGCTAGGGGTAGGTAATGATCTTGAAAAGAACATGAAAGTCACGGTTGCATATAACAAGTTTGGTTGCGGATGTGTCCAAAGATTGCCTAGGTGTCGATGTGGTTTTACACACGTGGTAAACAATGACTATGACAAATGGCAAATGTATGCTATCGGTGGTACGGATAAACCTACCATCCTTAGCCAAGGCAACCGATTTATGGCTCCTGATGACAAACAATACAAACAGGTATGCAAAGCTGTTATTAGCATGAACTTTATGTATGTTAATATATACAAACGTTCATCACTCTTTTCGTTTTGGATTTGTCTAACAAAAAGATATGTTGTGAAGGTGACACGAAGGGCGGAGGCCACTGAGGCAGAATGGAAGACATGGAATTGGAAATCGGAACATGACATTTTGCTAAATGGAGCCTTTTTCATACCATCAGGTGGTAATATACAACATCCTCCTGAGATGCTTGAAGTTGAGACAAAGATACCCGTTGAGACACTCACCCGTTGTGCGGGCTTACTCAAATGTACCCCTGGGCAACCTTGTTAAGCACCCAAAAAAAAAACAATCATTGATATTCTGAACACAAGATCAATGACTTTTAGTAGTGACCGAAATCTGTAGTCATTAATTAATGTATATTTAAAAAAAAAGTTTTAAGGAAATGTTGTAGTTAAATTTGATCTTTTACTGACGGAATATATTCAGTCACTAAAAGTCACTATAGATCCAAGAGTTATATGTATATGTTTTTGTCATACGTATATATAAATCAATGCAAACGTGTGATACAAACAAGATATAATTCTGTTGCTCGAATAAACAATTAAAAGTTGTTGAGAATGATTATAAAAGATGATGAGATCACCATAAGTACTATTTCTAAGCAGTAATTACTTAATTGTAATAATTGCAAGATAAGAGTATTAGTCTCCATGATTCACTTGCAAGTTGCAACTTGACTGTACTCATCTAAAGAATTGTTACATGACCTTAATACTTATTGTTAGTGTTTAAGACCTAGACAAATGATAAACGATTGGATTTCACACACAAAGTAATAAAAACAAAACGAAACAAGAAAACAAATAATTTATATGAGAAATTAAATATCTTTCTACTTTCATTTCTATATATTTTCCTACCTAGTTGAAATTTCTATATATTTTCCTACCTAGTTGAAATGATGACAAATGTATTAAAATATCATTAATCTTATCAAAATATTATCAAAATATGACACATATCATCGTTTTATATGGATAGAAAGATAAATATAAAGAAAAAACAGAAGGATATTTAATTTCTCAATTTATATTGATTCAAAGTGTATCTACTCATCTCTATTTTTGCTCTATTCCTTCCAAAATTCAGATTTTCTCCATAATTTTAGGATTAAGCTTGTGTTACCATCTTTAAGATACCCTCATCTTCAGTATTTAAGAAAAGAAAGTTTATAAAAATAAGTTCTTTTAGAAAAGATGTAGGAAATTATTTAAAAAAAATGGTTTATAGATCTTATAATCCTTTTTAAATATTTGTTTACACAATTATTTTGTGGTCAATGACTGATTGTTATTAATATAATTATTGAATATTAAATCGAGTGTTAGAATAATATAATTTATGAGATTCGTTGAAAAGAAACTAATTGTGTATAAAGACGTACTACGTATCGTATAATCCCGTTTAGTTTAATCTAGGCATTAAAATTTAGGGAGAATGACTTAAAACTATAATGAAGTTTCAAAAATATACAAAAAAGACTATTGTTTCTTTTTAATATACAAAATATCATTGAACTAACTATCGTAGGTAATCATCCGGTTACCAAAAATAAAATACTAAGAAAGTATTTCGCAAATAAGGAGTAGGAAATTTTAATTTAAACTAGAAAGGTTACCCCGTTACGCGGGGGCCAGAAGCTTTCAATGTTGTTTCCGAATTGATAAATATGACAGACATAGAAAGTGCAAGGATGAAAAGTCCGGGCTTTGCCCCGGACAAAAAATGTAAAAGTTTTGACTGCAAGGACCAGAAGTGTGAAAATGGCTAAAGAATTAAAGGGGTAGGAATTAGCAACTTTTTAGAAAAGGGATCAAAGTTGTCAAACCGTTAAAGTTTTGTGGCCAAACTTTAAATATTAAAAGGTTCCAAAAAAGTGTAAAAATATTGATTGCAAGGACCAAAAGTGTCAAAATTGGTAAAGAATAATGACCAAAGTTGCCAAAAAAACATCCAAATTTAGTATTCCTAACTTCCAACAATAATACAAGGACCAATTCTGCCAAAAAAAATGGGAAGTTGAATGGAACACAAACAAAAGCACATGAATAAATTAATTAAAGAAGTACATGGACCGGATATATAAATCAAGAGACCAAACTTGGACAAAGTATCCAAAGTTTACTATTCATTTCTTTCACAACTTTAATATATATATATAATAATAAAAACAACGTGGGGTGTATATATAACGAAGCTTCAAAAATATAAAAAAAAGGCTATTTTTTTTAGTATACAAAAATCATTGAGCTGATTATTATATGTAATCATCCGGTTACTCGCGAAATAAAATACTAAGAAAGTGTTACGCAAATAAGGAGGATGTTTTTCCCTCAAAACAAATGTTTTTACAATTGAGAGAGAGAGAAAGAGATTTTCTTACCAGCCATTCTCTATGGCCTTGCTGACTGTTATCTCCATCATGAACTTTAACAGCTACCGGGATTGGCTGAATCCCCTCTTTTATATCATCTTCAAGAAACCCTTTATAAACACTACCAAATCCGCCTCCACCTAGCATGTGATCTTGTCTAAAATTACCAGTGATTTTTCTAAGTTCATCAAATGTGAAAACGATTAAAGGATTAGTTGCAGAACTACGACGAAAATCTTCCACTTCTTCAGGGTTTGACGGCAGCTTATTGTCTTCCTCCTTTCTTCTCGCCAATGAACTTTCATCCCTAGTCAACTCTGAAAACGAAGACCAAACCATGCCAAATATACCCAACATGAAAGACAAGAACATAATATAAAGAAAAATCATAAGAAAAAGCTTTAGATTAGAAGCGCATATTCAGAAATGCCACCTTATCTCTTAATTTCCTTTCATCATAAAACAAGAAGCCAAATCAAGAACATACCTCGAATGAGGAATCTCAAAAGCAAAAAAGTAAAAGATGGTAGGAAAAAGAACATGTTTACAGAAAATTAACCCAATTGCGATATATACATCAACCTAACCCAAAGAAAATGGATTAAAACTAAAAAGTTTGTAGAAAACCCACCTGATTTTGAGTTTGATGAGACTCTATATATCGAGGGTTTCCACTTACACCAGCAGCTACCCATCACTCGCTCTTTTACGTACTCACTCTTTTACTCAACCACAAAAACAACAAGATTACTAATGACATAAACAAGAAAAATAACCCATTAAAAGAAAAGAAGAAAAGATTATTGGGAAGTCATCAAAGGTTGAATCTTTTATTGCCAATAGAGAAAACAGAAAGAAAGAGTGTTTGTGGGGAAATTTCTTGTGGGAACTAAAGATCTTTCTTGATAGTAATCATGAAGTGGAGTGTCTAAGTGGTGGGGGCTGTTTTCCATCCGCATGTTACTTTGTTTTAATTTCGAAATTGTGGTGTGTACATGTGCTGTTTCTTTTTATTGTTTGGACTTAAGTGTTAGTGCGTCTTTTTTAAGACCTGGAGAATTTTAATAGCTATATATGAGTCGTTATCTATCCTCTTCAAAGCCTTCTTTTTTAGCCCGCGCCTGTTCTTTTTTACCAATCTATTCACATAGATTCCCCTCAATAGTGCGTCAATGGGCCTATGTTCATTCATATCTTATTCTTCCAAAGTTTTGCAGCCAAATTTTCCTACTAATTTACTTAATTTAGCACGTGCATTTAAATTCATGCCCAAGAAAAGGCAGCAGTGATGAATTATAACAGAGGCAAGAAGTGGAAATGAAAGAAACATATTTTAATTTTATTTGGTTACATTACAAAATGAAAGAAATATAAATTTAATTTTCTCTAGAAGAATGTTTGTAGTATTCATCACCATCAACCATCGTTGCCTTCATATTCGTCTTCCTTGTCTTCATTGTCTTGAATAATTTTACATCTCTCTTCGTATTCAACATCTTTGTCATCGTAAAAATTGTTAGTAGTGTGCATTGATAAACCGTGTGCTATTGTTGTTTTAGTATTTCATCTTGATGTGTTGAATTGTATCCTTAGTGATCGCACGCCTTCACCGATTGTCATGTAAGTCTCCGAGTCAATATTACAACCTTGCCACTTAAATAAAAAGTGGATTCCCAAACAGACGTGAAAATTTGTTAACAAATCTCGGATCATTGCGACCAAAATCGGAAATTGTGGTTTCTTATATTTCCATCAAGACAACAAAACTACAATTTTAAATTCGTCAATATTTGTATATTTTATAAAATTAACATATAGTTTCGTAAATCCTTACTATTTATATGTTGGTTCGTGCTTGTCACTTCCATCACTATAGAGGGTATTAAAAAGTTGTATTACTTTATCGTTATGGCGATCTAGTAGTACACGAATGCTACTCCTTTACTTATCCCCAATTATTTATATTAGTAGGGGCGTTCCATATTTGACATTATAAATATTACATAAATCTCTAAAAATCTTAGTAAATTAAATTAGTTACATGGTTTTGTGCAAATGGCATGTCTTCCTGAGCACTCAAGCCTAAGCTATCAACTGTTTTAGTTATTAGAACTTTGACGTACACCAACACCATTTAAAAAAGATGGATTGAAAGTGGCGTGAACATGTATGAATTTTGAAAAAAAAGGTTCACTCCATGAGATTGAAGGTTCAGATCTCATTTGGACATAGATAGATTTAAACGTAGAATAAAAGTAGATTATGATTATGTTTAATTCTTTATAAAATTTTATTAAGACAATTTCAAAATTGGTCCATGCGGTTTACCATAAGCATTATAAGAAATCAAGGCATTACCGGCGACGCCTTTAACAACGACAAGGACCTTTAGCGGCGACTCATCACTTTGTCGCCGCTAAAAGTCCGTGTCGCCACTAAAGCCATCGCCGGTAATGTCTTGTTGACCGAATCTACGTTATCCGCTTCTGATAAACCTCAACTGTCCGATCGAGTATCTAATCCAATGACTGTGGCCTCGTTTTCGCACAAACCCAATACTGGCGACAAAAAGTCGTTGCTACAGGTAGAAAAAAAGATGTAGCATAAGTTCTCTCCTTAGATGTCACCGCTATTTGTGATTGTCGCCGCTAAAGGTTTAGTGTCGCTGCTATTGGTCGACGTAAATAACACTCATCTTTCTGCTTTCAGCTTTCATTTATATATGTTTTTTTTCCACTTTTCCTCCGACAACTTTCGCTTAATCGATCATTCCCGAAGGTTAGAAGAGATATCGGCGACACCTTTAGGCCACCGGAAACTCCCCACTTCGACATCTCTGACGATTCCACTGTGACATTAATTCTAGCAATGTTGTTGCGATTTCGTTCGAGGTTCGTGTTTTCCTTCCTCATCTCTCAGTTTCTTTCTCTTTTAATGTCGATTTCCACTTGTATTCACGATTAATTGCAAAAAAAATTGTTTAAGAAGAGTTTTTCCTCCATTCTCACAACCGCTACCGCCGACTGTTGCTGTCACCGACGACGATCACCACCACCACCACTGCACAAATTGTTGATTTTTGGCCACCACAAGTTCTATTTACTATGATTTTGGAGATTAATTGCAAAATAATATGTGTATTTGATATATGTATTTCAATGTGGTGTATATATGTGAAAATGTGTATTTGGTGTATGTATGTGTGTATAATATGTATGTGAATTTATGTGAATTTTGTGTATATGTGGTACATGTGTGTATTTGATATATGTATATGAATTTGGTGTATGTATGTGAAAATTTATGTATTTGGTATACGTAGGATATTATTATGTATGTATGTGAAAGTATGTATTTTTGGTATAAGTAGGATGCTAATGTGTATTTGATATATGTATTGAGAATGTATGTGTATTTGGTGTATATGTGGTATATATATGTGAAAGTATGTGTATTTTATGTTATTATGTATTATGTGAAAGTATATGTTTTTGGTATAAGTAGGATGCTATTATGTATTTGATATATGAAATGAAAATGTATGTATATTTGGTGTATATGTGGTATATGTATGTGAAAGTATATGTATTTGATGCTATTATATATGTATGTGAAAGAATATGTGTTTTTTGGTATAAGTAGGATGTTATTGTGTATTTGATATATCTATTGAGAATGTTATTATTGTAGGATGCTATTATCGAAAAAACAAATAAAGTAAGATGCTATTATTGAGAATACTATTTTTTATATAAAAAAACAATGTGGATTGTAAAAAAAACAAATAAAGTAGTATTATATTATTGGAAATGAAAACATGAAGTAAACCACTACAATAGAAAACAACATAATATAATTCTTTTAAAATACAATGCTATAACTGAAAAAAATGTTATAAATAACAAAAATATAAAAAAGTACAATTTGCTTTGAACTTTTTCAAAGTGATAATTATGCTCTTATGTTTTTCTTTTTTCTTTTTATTTACTTAACTATTTATTTAATTAAAATAAAACAAAAAACAAAATATAAACCTCACAGACTCACTATAACATTCGAGTTTGGTATGTTTCCATTTTAACCCCTTATTGTAAAATGTCTATCTTTTTGGTCCCTAGCTAGTACGTGGGCCGTACTTTATGAGTACGCTTAGCGTACTAGCTCATTTATGGACACGAGATTCACCCACGTACGTTCGGCGTACGTGGGAGCATGCAAAGCATACGCTAAGCAGGGGAAAACCCTAATCTTTAGGGTTTGTGCTCTATTTAAGCAACTTATGTTGCCGTGGTTGTATCTTTTGGCCAGCCTCCACTCCCTAATACCCTAAGATCAAAACCCTAGCCTCCCATAATGTGTTTTTGAGCTTTGGAAGTAATTTTGTGTTGTTTTGGTGTGCATTGAAGAAGGTGGTGCTTGGTGACCAAGCTTTGGGTGGACTTCAGGTTGTAGATCCAGAATCTTCATCAAGTTTGCTAGCTCCAGAAGGTATAAAGTTCTTATCTTGGAACCTCCTTGTGTTAGATTGAGATTAGGGCTTGTTTTTTTAGTTTAGTATGGTCTTTTGGGTTCTCTATGGGAGTTTGAGTCCCTCTATGAGCTAGGATGCTAGATCTTAATCTCTATGATGTTCCTTGTGTGCAAAGGTGCCATCTTGATGAATCATATTGGTCCATGCATGAGGTTGACCCCTTATTATGGGTCTTAATGGACAAAATCAGGTTTTAGGGTCCCATTAAGACATTAAAGATGAAAAAGTTGCCAACTTTATGCATTAATACCTTGAAATGAAGTTGATATGAGGTTTTGAGATTAAGAGCTTAAGTAGTTAAGACAAACTTGGCCCAAATGGGACTCAAGCCAGTATGCGGGGCGTAACCACTAGTACGCTGCGCGTACTGGGTCAGCTACCTGATTTCGAGTCAACACTCGTACGCCAAGCGTACGAGGAGAACGTCGAGCGTACTCGGTGCAATAGGCTTCTCCGTTTGGTCCTTTGGACTGGGGACTATTATGGGCTTTTAAGGTGTAGGCCTTGTTGGGCTATTGGACTTCTGACTATGGGCCATGGATGTATATTGGGCCTTCTTGGGGTTAGGCCCATGATGATTTTGGGCCCAACTAGGATGATGGTTAATAATGGGCCTTGGGATGCCATTAAGGAATTTGGGCCTCTTGAGTAATTGGGTTGGGCCTTGATTTTGGGCAAAGTAGGAAAAAGGGTAAAATGGTCTTTTATCCTCGAGGTTGGACAAGTAATTTAGATTCTTGATTATGGGTCGAGATCTAATTATTAATTAAATATTATTGATTATGTTAGCGTGGGATTTTCCGGATCAACAGATCGAGATTTTTATCTGAGAGATTCTGCAGCTTGAGGTGAGTTTCCTCACTATGTTTAGAGGTCGAAGGCACCAATGTCGGCCCATGGTTTATTATGATTAGGATGCTAGTTGTCTGTGTGACTCTGCATCTGCATGTAGGTTTTATGATATGTTTACCGAGCGGGTCTCGAAGTCGGGCGGGGCCTTATGATTATATTGTATGTTATTTATCTTTGTGATTTTTATGCATGTGTTTATATGTTTTGTATGTATACCGGGCAGCACCCGATGCCAGGCGGGGCCTGATGACTGACATATCTGTTGCGATTAGGGATCGATGCCGGGCGGGGCCCATTATATGTTTGATATGTATGATATTTTGGTATTTTGGGGATCTCGCTAAGTTTTTGTACTTACATTTTTCAGTTTGTGTTTCAGCTACTTCTGGTTCGAAGGGAAAGAGCCCAGGATGATTGCAGTGCACACACCACATCGTTCCACAATTTATATTACTCTGATGTACTTGGATGTTTATTGATACACTCTGATTCACTATGGTTTCTATGATGATGTTTTGGATAATGTTTTATTAATTTAAAAATCGAAATTTTTAGTCTTCATTTTTAGGATGTTACAAGTTTGTATCAGAGCCTTAGTTTGAGGGATTCGGGAATACTCTCGAGTGTGCCTGAACTCAAACTGAGGGTGTGGTAGAATTTTCAAAAAGAAATGTGTTATAAAAGGATTTT